TCCTTTGGAACAATTATTTAATGTGAGCATTATTTAAATGTGAAAGTAGAGTGAATATATTTTGTTGTGTTTTTTAAATTTAGTCCCAGCATCTTATTTTCCATCTACATTTAAAGCAGCACATTATTCTTTGCTTCCTGCCTTCCATTTAAAGTTAGCACAGAGTTTAAATAGTGAGAGAAGTAATTTTGACTATAGAGGAAAGAGAAACACATTGATGTGCCACCTTTGGCTCTGTTATTCTCTTAAACCCATCTGAGGGGGGAAATAGTCATTTTAAGCTGAAGCAAATGTGATCCTTTTTGAGTAGTACAGTGGACAGTTTAGAAAACCACCCAGATTTCTGAGCTTATTTCAAGCCCTTTGGGTGTATAAAGTTACTTTCACTGATTGCCATTTTGAGGAAGGATCTTGCCATTCTGTTCAGACTTGCAGGAACTATGGTTATGTTACAATGGAGTTATATCATAGTTCTGTTTACAGTGGTGTCCTGGTCACCCATTTTGAGAGATACTTAATAGGTAATAGAGGGAATACAGGGGTTGACAAAGCAATTATTGTTGCTCTGACAGGAAGACAAAGTGAGGTGAAAATACATAAGGAATAATCACTTGTTTTCTTCAAAAAACGAATAATGTTCAATTGAAGGGCAGAATCTGAAGAGTTTCTGTATCTTTTTCACATGCCATTTCTTTCAAGAATCAGCAGGCAGTGGTGTTATACTCATTCTGAAAATTGCCTTTACGTACAAATAGCATTCATTACACGCAACTTTTCTCAGCTCTAAAGGGCAAGGGGAAAACAAATTATTTCAAAATAAAGAATAGAAATCAGCTATCACTAGCATGAATTTTTTCCCTCAGGATACGAATGAAAATGCCTCGTGCTGTTTTCAAACATTCCAGCCATCAACTCCAGATAACATGGGCAAACATAATTTTTGTTGTTGACATAATGAAGATGATGACGCCTTGCAACCACTTCTCAGAGCGGAAACTCGTCTTCTGTACCTGCCCGGGGGCGGAGGGGGGCGGACCACGATGAATGCTGGTGGCGTGGGAAAAGTAAATGCGCAAATGAAAACCAGTGAGTCAGACAGCACATTCATTGCTGTGCGTAGGAGCCAGGGTTGCCACAATCTGCTTAGGAGGCCCCCACTGAGGCGCATGGCACGCCATTTTTATATTGAATAAAATGTAATAATTATACAAAATTAAAGTAAGCTACTGTATTTTCACTAACTCTCAGGAAAAGTTTAGCAATTTGTTTTCTTGGGGCATGTGTTTATTACATTAAATGCAAAAAAGACTTTAGGAGATGAAACTAAATAAATTAATACAAGTATCACAATAATATAGACAGAGCACTAATCCTAACCCTAACTCCAGCCTCACCACATGGAACATTATGCACAGAAAGGAAATCAAAAGAAGGCTGTCTTGGTTACTTTTCTCTCATTGCTGAGACAGAATACCCGACACCCAGAATCCAGGAAGGAAGGGTTTATTTAGCTTATGGCCTGTGGAGGTTTCAGTCCATACTCAGCTGGCTCCATGGCAGAGGGCAATAGCTCATGGCCGTGGAAGACAGCAAAAGCAGCAAGAGCAAAAGGGAGCAGCAGCAAGCAAGCCTCTTTCCCTCCCTTACACTGTATGCAAACTACCTGCCCCAGGGCTGGTGTAGCACTCACACCCATAATCCCAGCATTGGACCAGGGATCAATGGTGAACTCTAGAAGCCCACCCATAACTGCATGGGGCTTTGGGGGACATCCAGACACAAACCATAACAAAGGCTGAGGATAATTCCCGTGATGTGGTGGAAATTCCATCCTAAAAGAGTGAACATATGCATTTGGAAGCCACTGGGATAGTGACCAAGAAGATTTCTTGATACAACTGTGAATGCAAAGCCAGATGTGTGTCCACTTCTTTAACCTAGAATAGCTCTGTAACAGGTTATTAATGCAATAACCATGCTAGTCTATTGATTTAGTCATAATGTTTATGGTAACATTAAATGGGATTCTGATCCAGACCCACAGGCACAAATCACCTATGGTACGATGCTACAAAGCACAGTGATGATAAATTTCTGAAATAAAAGAGACTCTATGCATCTACTGACAAACTGGAGAGAAAGCATTAAAATTTTGACAAATCTTGTATAGAATGATAGCGAATCGCCTTCACTCTGCACTGTGTTTAGGGAACGAGAGGGGTTTCCAGAGCAGCACCTGTGATGTGTCTTAACAGACTCCAGAGAGACTACTGGGCTCTGCTTCTTTCCCATGCACACTCCACATGAGCCTCTGCCTCTTCCTCTACTGCATATGCATGCTAGGAAAGCAACAGCTTTTAAATAACAAATTAATCCTATTCCCAAGTACCAAATAATTACTAAAAACAAACATATTTCCTTTGAGGTAATTTTTCATTTGTTTCAATTGTTCACAACCATTAAAACTAAGTTACAGACTATTTACAGGAGGAGAAATAGCTCCAGGAACTGCATAGCTTTGAGCTGGAGTTGCATGAAATCATCAAACACAAACTGCCCCCAAATTTGCAGAGTTACTTGATTAGTCAAACCAGCAGGATGACTCCATAATGGATTCTGCTTTGGGCAATGCTAACAAAGCTGTACCCTGATGAAAAGTAACCTTGAAATTTCTGCATTGCATTTGATTCTGACTCCTTGTAGCACTGCTCTTTTGTACATGAAAAGGGAAAACAGAAAATTGAGATAATTATGTTGGCTATTAAGGTGAAAAAGGGAATATTCAGATACTCAACCAACAGGAACTGAAGGACTGGACTATATAGATAAGTCCTCAATTCCACTATGTTAAGAATACGAAGTGTTTTATAAGTGAAAATCACTGACAGATATTTCTAAGTATTATGTCCAGTATAAATGAGCAGAAACCCTCAACACTGATTCTTTCCTTGCTGTCTCAGTAAAAAATGGTATAATCATGCTACTTTAGTTCTCTTCTAGTATTCAAATTTGCAGAGAGTGATGGTGCATGCCAATAAACTTTCAGGCAAGATATTCCACAAACATGAAAAGTAACTTTTAACCCAATTGTCACTTATTCCACTGAGCCTCTAAAGGAGACAAACTGACATCATGTGCAACGTAACACCCGTTAATGACGCCAGCTCTGTCTCCTCCCAGTGAGCCAGCTGCTTCTAAGCAGAGGTCTTCCTCCCACTGGCCCGCAAGTCCCTGTTTCACCTGACCCCCTTATCTCTGATGCAGTGCAGTACACTCTTCACTGCCCAGGCCCAGTGACACTGCTGATGTCACCGGCTACCAGCACACTCAGTGCCAACCCTGTAGGGTTTGTGCCCTGTCCCAGAGTGATCCCGCCTGACCCCAGAGCTCATCAGTGGTCGCTCCTGGCCTGCCTTTCTTTCGTTTGATTACTATTATTCAGCTGAGGCAAAAGAGGACCTTCCATTCACAAATTCTTTATTATTAAATATTAAAGGCTGTTAAATAGTATTAAAAAATTGCTTCTCGGCTTTTTGGCTAAGATCAAGTGTAAATATTATGAAACTACTTCAATTGTGCTGTCAAATTTAGTACACTTTTATTTATTCAGTCCCCACTGTCACTAGATTTAGTAGGAAGTTTTGCTTTTTTAGCAGTATGATACAATTTGTCAAAGATCTGTGTAGAACAACAACAAAAACTCTAGCTTTCCTTCCTCGTGGACTTCCAAACTTGGTCACTGGGATTTTTGTTTGCTATTGGGCTTCAACTGGAGCATCAAGTCTTCCTGCAGCCTTGACCCTGCCAGTCTTTAGTGAAACTACACCTGCAGCCTTCCCCCTGCCGGTCTTCCACAGACTCCGTGATGACCTAACCCAGTTCATATATATGTATATATGTGATGTATATAATTATGCAATTTTGTCATTATGCTTATATAATTATGACATATAACATATATTTGTATATATGTAAATACACACATGTACCCTGTTGATTTTTTTCCTTGAAGAACCTTGATCAATACACACAGCCACTTAGACATCAGTTTTGCTTACCACTCAAATATCCTTAAAATTTGTTTCCTGAATTACAAATGTATATTGTTTTGTTCTGAAGATAACTCAACGTGTACATGACGGAAGAGTCTTCTTCCTAAAAGCAACTGGCCTGTGGTTGGCTTATTCTTTTGTCTTACAAGCGTGGAGTGGAAGCGAACGTGTGTGGGTCTCCGTCCTGTTGGACTCTTTCCTGCTGAGTTCCCCAAACTCCCCGTATGTGCTCAGACGCAAGCAGCTCCCATCGGATTCTCTCGTTTCACTCTCACTGTGAAGTTCACTACACGTAGAGGCGGCATAAAGTGGCCTTGTGTGTCCCACAGCTGAGGGTGCCCCTCGGGAAGCCCCATGTCTTGTGAGGCTCCCAAAGCTAATCACTGATATCGAAGGGCGTAGAGTAGGCCCACTTCTGTTCAAAGGGATTCTGCCTGGGTCAGGAAAAAGATTTCTCTTAACCCTGTGTCTTTAACCCACTCCCATCCCCAAGACAAAGGACTACAACCAGACCTGTCTGAGAATATTTTGAGAGACAGAAGCTCTGGGCAGAAACAGAGTTCCTTGTCGTTCCAGCTTTTACTGCATCCACACAGTTTTAAATGGTAAATGCCACGTTAGTCAGACCCGAAGCCCAAGTAGAGGGCAGGCAGCTGATTGCCAGCCATGTCTGTACCACAGGGCCTAAGCCGGAAACCTCACTCAGTACTGAGAGCGCACACTGCCGCCGCCCTGCAGGGATCGCCAACCTCCCCTGTCGCGTCAGACTAAATATTTCTCAACACTTGTGACAGGAAGAATAGGATGCTTCGACTGAGAAGAAGCAATATGTGTTTTTAAAAACCAAGCCAATATTTTCAAGGTAGTTATTTGTAATTATTTTATTAAACAATCATCTTTTACACATCATCAGACCTTACCCCTGAAGTGCAAAAAAACAGTTTGAGGTATTAAAACTGAAGGGACATTTGCACATATTTTGTAAGGTTTTCATGCTACAATAACCAGAAAACGCAGGATAACTAAATACTACAGATAGCAGCAGATCTGTAAGAACAAAGCTGAATGAAACAGACCTGGTTTATTTTGTGATAACTCCCAAAATTGAGGAAAGGGTGGCAAAAAATAGTAGGAGACTTAAGTTGCTTCCAAAATGATATATGTCCATTATTCAGTTCTATAAAATGGAGTATAGAATTTAAAAGGTCAAAAGCTGAAGCAGTAGCCATCCCAAAAGCATAAAAATCAAACTGACAAACCAGCTTCAATGATATAATGTCCTAGTCACAAAACTTAATCCTCAGATCAATAGCAATTCACTTAAGGTATCTGAAGTAGATTTACCAGAATTTTTCAATACTACCCATGTACACACAGAGCCACTTAGTAGCATGATCTGTTCATCAGTTTAGCACTGATAAAGGTCACAATTTTCACTTCAAAGGTATTTTGAAGTAATAGAGGGAAGAAGAGATTGGTTTTTTAAGTGATTTAAACATTTTTGATGTTGAGGAGATTACCTAGAGATTTTCCAGGTCTTGTTTCACTTTATGAAACTCAGTATAGAGAAGCAGAAGCAATTATATAGCTAATCAGCATAACACAAACACTTGCTTCTGAAATATTCAGGCAAATTGGAGAAAAGGTGTTTCTTGACTTGCTGATTGATTTATTAACTTACAGTGTAGACACTCCATTTCAAGCAAATCTAAAACTGCACAATGATTTGCATGTAGTATAATAAAATAAGTCCTGAATAATGGAGCATGAATGTTGAATAAAAATTAGTTATTACAGCTATATTTTACAGTTAAACAGCACTTCTAGTGGTCATATATGCTAAGTTTTGGTGTTTCTCATTGAGTTGTTTTATTTGTTCAGTTGTGTCGATAGTTTGAACGAAGAGCAGGTTGATTATTTTTTAAAAACATGAACTGCTTCAAACTTGATTTTTAAAAACAATCCGAAAAACTATAAAGAGTCAAATGCTCTTAGAGTTTACCATTACAAGAAAATTGTGTTTATCACATGCCAACTATGGCACCTAACAGCAGATACCTTACAAAGAAGGCTTCACTAGACTGTTTTGCCTGACATCAAAAATTGGGCCAAAACAACCCCACTTCATTCAAGTAGAGACCAGCAAACTCCTACAAATTACATTTGCTGTAAGTCTCTTTTTTGTCTTAGGAAGAAAAGGGAGCCAGGGTTGTTATAAACCTTTATGTGAACACCAAGCTTAAGAGGTGGTGATAGTGTCCTCTTCCCAGTAGAGTTTGTTTTCTCACACAATGACTTTTGAATAGGAATAATTTTCCCAGAGTTAGAGTATAACTTAGGAGTAGAGCACTTGCCTCGAATGAGTGATATCCTGGGTTCAGTCTCTAGAACCTCAGCGCAAAAGAGGATGAAAGTGAGGCGGCGGAGGAGGAGAATGTCACAACTGCCTCATTGCTGGAATCACAGCTGCAGTAGCAGCTGAATTGTTTCCCTACAAGGGGCATTAACATATGCTGCTGTTCATGCCAAATTTTTGTCTCTCAAACATGAATCACAATGAGAAAACCCATCACAGTCATTCCAGATTAATACTATCTGAGGGCATTTGATGTGGTTTTCCTATATACTAGGAAGCAACTGTTTTTCCTATATACTAGCTGTGCAGTGGGTGTCTCTCGGTTGATATACATTTCCCAGGAGTTTGGTTTTCTATTTGTCTTTTAAGGTCTATTTTCAGACCTGAAAATCAGCCCAAAACTCAGTAGGTCATGGAATGAATATCTAAGTTTCAGGAGTCAACTTGGATGGTCTAATCAATATAGCATCCTAGGCTGGAATATATGGAATAGAAGAAAAATCACCTTTCATGGTAGGACCACATATGCAAATCTAAAGATCTTTAAGACTTAGGGAAAAAATGAAACAAATTCCATATTTTTTCTATGCCAACTTTTTATCTCATAAACCAACAAGGCAAAGAAAATTGAAATGAAATTAAATATGACTCATCCTATAAGATCTAAGTCCTGAACATATTTTACTTATTGTCAGTATGCCCACTGATGTCATAAAAATAGGGCTGGTCGTATATAAAAGTAACAATAACAACGTTAGAAAAATTACTTCACTATCATCATTCTGAGGAGATTATACTGTGAAATCTATTAAACCTACAAATATCAAATTATAGCTGGCATTCAAGGCTGGTGGAACACTGACTGCAGTCATACAGGGACAGTGAGTTAAGCCTTCCCCCAAGAGCAGGCTCTGGCATAATCAGTCAAAGGCAGGATTTCTTATGCCATTCAACACCAAACTGGTGGGCCCCTTCCTGTGTAGAAGGGCCAGTGAACAAAGGAGGGAAAAGCTCACGACTCCCAGAATAACCACTCCTGATATCAGCGCACTGGTAATGGTGTTCAGCTGGAAAGGAGGTGCATTCAGAGAACCTGAAGATAGTCACAAACACACCAAAGGAGTGAATCAAAGCCAAACAGATAAACAAACAGCAAAACAACAAACTACAAGATGCTACCACAATTAGCCAATATATCATATGAGTTTCAAAATCATCAACGAACTGCTATTTAAAATATAAAAGACTTGTTTCATCACATTTAATTAATTCACTTTTATAATTGGCCATCAAATACTTTTAAAATGCAGAACTTTTGTTTGTAATAAATGCTAATCATCTTACCAAGTTGTGAATTGTTGGTTGGCGTCTCATCTAAGGAGTGAAAACAGGAAAAGAGACATAATAAATCTCTCCAAATATTTATCTCCATTTCCTGAGTCCATAGGAACTTTGTACCTGTATTTCTCTTGTTCTCCACCCACAAGCTCCAAAGGGAAGGCACAAATGCAAATCCTCCTTAACACATTCTGGTTTTTTGGTTTTTTTTTCCAGTACTGGGAATCAAACTCACGACCTTGCGCTTGCCAGGCAGGTGCTGTGCTGCTGAGCTAAATCCCCAGCCCCAACACATTCTGCTTTCCCACTTTTCTGTCCCACGTCTCATTGTCTGTCTGTTTCCCAAGTCCACATCCCGCCACTTCCCGAGGTATCTGAGTGGAATCTCAAAGTATATTATGTCATGTTCTTTCTTTCCAACTTTGCTTCATCATTATCTCACCGGTCAGGTTAGCAGGAGCAGGAGCTGTTAACAGCTACGACATTTTTTATGGCCCTATAACCTCCCATTTGTTATTCTGTTACAGAGAAATAGTCACTATTTAGTGCCACTCTATTTTAAGTGTTGCCAATTTGTCCAATGTGATCTTCAAAAACATTGTTTTAAGTTCCAAGTAGATAAATTCGCACTTAATAAATAAATGAAAGGAAAAAAATGATTGCTGGATTTGAGTTGTAATTTTATTTACATCTGTTAAGTCAAAGATTGCAGCTATTGAGTTTTCACTTTTCTTTGGCAAACATAATAATTAAACATTAAACACATTCCCTTGTTTTCCTAATTCTTGTTGTCCAATTTGAAATCATGTCACTATTAACCCTTGAGCTTATGCAACTATTGGATTTCATATTTATGTTAACACATGTACGTGCTTGTGAGTGTTAATTATTTGAACCATAAAATACATGGAGTTCACCATTTATTTCTGGAGAATAAATATTATTGTAATTAAAATGTGTATACCGCCGCATGCTTTATAAAGTACTATTTCACACGTTATCACATTTCTAATGATGACCATGTTATTGCTGCTCCCGTTTTACAGATGAAAACACTTCTACCTGTCACAACCTTTTGGCAAGGTAAACATATGTTTAAATCCAAGCTCCATTTCAGAGTCCTTTTTCTAAAATCATATAAACTTGGCAAGTATGGAAAATATTTTTGGTTATAGAGATGAACACCTCAGGCTAAGAATTCCAGGACTAGAATTTAAAACAGTTAATGGGAGAACTCAGTGAGACATTAATAAAACGTCCAATGCTATTACTTTTCAGGGGCATGAATCTTGGCAAAAATGATAGTTTTTCCTATCTGATCCTAAAGTTCAATGTTCAAAATTACTACAGCATTTATTCATAGGATTTGTTAGAACAGGGCACTGTATTATAATAGGAAAAAATTCCACAGATTTTCATTATAGGACACTCTCAGGAAAATCCTAACTTCCAATCAACACCAATTTAGAAAGACAATTCTTCCTCATGGAAATAGAGGAGATGAATGGACTGTAACCAATTCATCCATAAGATCTACATGTCTTTTTTCAAGACAAGCTGCCTCGATGGAACATAAAAGGATAATGTATAATACTCAAAATTTCTCCTTTAAAGTTCTTCTCTTTTTTAGAAATCACACTTCAACTGCTTTTAAAAATGTACCGAAGAATAGGAGGCTTTTTACTAAGCATTCCAAGTAAGACAAACGTGCTGAATGAATCCCTCACTACTTTCTGCATTGGAGGTTAATAGGAGTCGGACTACCTCCTCCGCTCCCCTTGTTACCACAGCTTGTGTCGCGAAGTGTGTGAGATGTCACCCGTGAGCACCTGGCTGTGGACAAAATCTTCCTACGCGTGCGCCACATGAGCACATTACCTCCTGTTTCTAGAACTGAAAAAATGAAAGCATCCTGCCACAGGCAGCTGAACAGTCAAACAACAAAATAGCTGAATACTCTTTGGAATTATATTTCAAGGTAAATAAAAGTAGAATTGCTTTATTGAGTTGCTGTCTCTGATGGTCCCCGGTTTTGTGTCATTGTAATAAAAAGCATTGTCTCGTCCAAAAGAGGAGGCAGACATTTTCCGGGAAACTTTTGTTACCACACAATTCTGCTTTCCCTTAAATGCGCCTGCTCTTCACTTACACACATGCTAAGAGAAGCACATGGAGTCCTCTGAAATTGGAGCAGATTCAAATGCCAAACACAGTGGGCACTTCAAAGAATGTACAGCCACCTGAGAATCCAGAGGAAGGCAATAGTGGCAAAGCCTTAGCTGTTTCAAAGGCAGAAAGAGCAGATTTGTTGTCATTCTTTGCTTTTTTCTCATATAAAAAGTTAGAATAAATGGAAAATATAAAATATGTGCGGACACATAAGCAGAATAAATATCTCCTTTCTTATCCCTAGAAAACAATTTTTTAAAAGATCTTTTCCCATGAAATTTTACCTCTAAATTTTTTACTTCACACTCTGTTACGTTTGGTAACAACCTACTTCTGAACTCTAAGGTCCCTGAAGGCAAAATTTGTAGCCCAGTTCTTAGCAAAGCACCTATCTCAAGCAGAGGCTAAATAAATATGTTCATAGGAAATATTAAATACCCATAAAACTCAATAATATCACTTGACAAGAGTTTGGCTTGGGCTTCTGCACAGAAATTTATATTAACAAACCAACTGGATATTATTATTTTCAAGTATTTGTGCCAGAACTGTACCCTATAAGCATTTTTCCACATAGGCAATTTTAACATTTGGGAACTTTAAATAAGAATATTTCAGTAATTTTGAGGATTTCATGTTTTGAAAAATGTGAATATTTTCCTAAATCAACTAGCAAAAGGATTGAAATAGTTGGTTAGAAATAATCAAAATAAAAAATAAATAAAAATTGAAAATAAAGAAATAATCAAAATAGATTTAGTTTCATTACAATCAAAATAAATCAGGAGGTTTGACACTTTATTAAACTTGAGCTAAGTCAGGTATGTAGGGAAAAGTAGTGGTTTGGTGAGCAAATAGAGCAAAACTTTCAAGTATCAGAGAACTCTGAAGACAGCAAATCAAGTCTGGCTTGCAATTGTCTATATAAAATCAGCCCTACCACCTGGAGAGATAAATTCTAGCTAAAAAATATAGTTTGCAAAAGAAAGAGCTAGCCCCAGTCATCACACTGAATGTTACACTTACACAGGACTGGCCTATGGGTGGGCGTGGCAGGAATTCTGAATTCCTTGGTCAGGTGGAATTAAAATAAATGTGTGCACATCCCAGTTCTGCAGTGTCAGGATTGTTACATGTGAACCACTGGGCCGTGCGGCCACCACCACCACGATCACCAAACAGAGAAGACCGCGCTACCGCCATTTATCAAAATAATAACTCCAGAAAGCGTGAGTGGCCAAGGCGGTGCCGAAGGTTGGAACTCGATCTGTCAGGGCCTTTGCAGGTGGAGAGACCTGAGGTGACTCAGCGACAACTCAAGCGCGCTAGGGAATAAGTGATTCCTTCGGGTCAGAAACTGGAAAGGAAGAGATCTGAGTGTATTATCAGAGGAATTTTGCTAGCTCTTTGATTTTTTTAGCGTAGATATTTTGTTTTTTTTGTTGTTGTTGTTGTTGGTTTTTTTTTTTTGGTTTTTCTCCGGTACCAGGAACCGAACTCACGACCTCGCGCTTGCCAGGCAGGCGCTTTGCCGCTGAGCTAAATCCCCAGCCCCTAGCGTAGATATTTTGGGCCACTGGATATGGGGTGTTCGAAAACTGCAAACCTAGGTAACTGGTTAGCCATGGCAGAATCAGAGATTTCTATTTGGCAGTCTTCTCTGGGATTAGTGACTCTTATAAGTGTTTTGTCTGTTTTTAAGAAAAAATATCTTACAGTAATTATTAAAATTTATAATGTTTAAATTTGATTTGGCCCAGATAAGAAAGCAAGGAGGTTATTAAGAAAGAAAAGCCATTTACCCAAGATGAACAGAAAGATATCTCTTCCACGGTTTCACAGCAAACTAACTCTAGATGTGCTCTAGAGAAATGAAAAACACTTTTTATTGTGCCTACCAAAAACCATTCCTAATTACTGGCAAGAAGAACTGAGTTTCGGTCCAAGGTAATTCAATGAGCAATTTCTTACCGTTCCGTACAGTGAAGAATTGGGCTTTTCATAAACCCTAAACCAGTCATTTTCAAACCATTAGAGGGATGGGGGACTAATTTTTAAATTTCATATTTAATAATTTCTGCATCATTTAAAGGGCCTATTAGTTTCTTTTAGAATAATGGCACCTCTGCAAAAACATAAGGAAGTAAATAACTAAAGCAATTGTCTAGAATTTTTTAGGCAAAACCGCTTATTAGTTTATCATTTACCTATTTTTGGAAAACTTGCTTTTTACAAGCAGCACAAGTGAAAAAGTAAAGAGAATTGAAATGAACATAATAAGAAGGGCCTTACAGCTAAAATAAAATGGAAAAAATATTATTAGTGTATAATCTAAACCAGGGTTCTTCTGTTTTGTGGACCAATTTAGAACCACAAAACTAGAAAGAATCTTCAGCCATACTTGGTACAACCCCTTATTTTAAACATGGAGAATCTTTGGCCCAGAGAAGTGAAGTAGAATCCCAAGCCTCACGGCTTTATAAGAACCAAAGCTGGACCTAGAACCAGTTTTTCCAGGGTGAGCGTCAGAGTTTAGAGTTATCCAGACGACTCCCGTGCCTCCGGGTTCGCACTGGCTGAGGTCGGGGCCCTCTGTGAGTGCGTGGGTGACTGCGGGCGCGCTATGCCCAGGCTGGTACACAGGAGGACGTCTGGGTAGAGCAGTGCGTCCCTTTGCAGCACAAACTCCTGCACTGGCTGGGGATGTGCAGCGCGGGGCCCCGAAGGGAAGAAGCGGCGCTCACAGGGGGCCAGCTCGGGAGTATGTACTGGGGTTATTTGCAAAGATGTGGGAAATTCGCCGGGGAAAGTCGTGTTTCCTGGGCAATGGAGCGAGGGAAAAACCCAGAAAGGGCCGTCTCAGAACCCAAGCACAGCAGGGACTTCACGTTTCCGTGCCACCTTCCGCTGACAGTGCCATCCGGAACCCAACCAGGAGCTCCGGGCGAGGGCGCGGTGGGCCCACCCAGGCGGGTGAACTGTCAGGGGGTCAGCACGACCTGCAGGGAAGGGCAGTGCGCAACAGCCCAGGGTGTGTGTGTGTGTGTGTGTGTGCGCGCGCGTGCAAAAAGGGAAATGTGTGGAGGACAATAGTGTCCGTGTGAGCAAACAAGAAATCCCAGTGAACCCAAAGTTGACCTTCTCTCACAGTTAATTCTGCTGCTTAGGGACCACTGAGCTCTCTTCGGAAGCCCAGAAACGACCCCTTTGGAGGCATCTGTTCCTAGGATAAGACAAAGCTCTCCTACCGCTCCGCGTGATGATGGGGCCGGCGGAGAGCACGGCGTCTCCCGAAGCGCTCTGCGGGCTCCCAGGGGTCCTGCCCCCCGCGTCCCTCCTCTCTCTGTGGCCGCAGACCTGAGGTGTTAATGAAAACGAGTGAAATTCCGCCCCGGCACAAACTCGTTTCTTTATGGCCATTTGGAAAGCAGATTCTTTTGCAAGAGACACCACATGTTCAATTTTACTCATTTCCTTCTGTGCGTTTATTTAATTACTGAGCGCGGAACGGCTCCTGCTTCTTGTCCTGGCTTGGGCCACATTTCTTATTTCCTCCCGCTGTAATGGTGCGCTGCTTCATTAATTTACACAGCTCGATGGCTCTCCTGAAAAAGAGCTGTGTTTATCAAATTTTTCTACTTTTATTTCTCTCAAGCCTTTAATAAATTCTTCCCTAAAATACCGGTCAGCGCAGGCTCACAGTAATGTGGACTTCCATGTACCCCCTGCCCCTCCAACAGAGACCAGAGATCAGTGCGCGTGGAGAAATAGCTTTGTCTTTACGCACGAACAGAGCATAAATATAAATATATTAAAGCTACTTCAAATTGTAAAAAATGCTTGCACTTTTCTTGCTCATATTGATGTAGCTCTAGGGGTCCTGTCAGAATAGAATTTTAGAAGTTTTTTTTTTTTCAATGCACTACTAACGATCTGTATTTAATATTGGCTATGTGTTATTTATTTTTACTCACCACTCACTGGCTCTATCATTTAATGATAGTTAAAAACCTACACCTTTTATAGCTTCCTGGGCCGTCTGGCAAATGTCCTACTTTCCAGCACCCGCTTACCCCTCCTGGGTTTCCTGCCTTGCTGTGATGGGCTCACACTGTTTCATGTGGCCATAGACCTCGAGCGTCCTAGAGCGTGGAGTGTCTCTCACTCTCCTGACTTTGCCCCCGGGATAGGTCTATCTTAAGGGTCACAGCTGGAGTTGCCCCCGGTCCATCAGTTCTTCCCCTCCCTGCTCTCCATCTCTCCGTGTGAGAGCACTACCTCCTCCTACAGCACATACATTTGTGTGCTTCGTGCCATGAGACCTTTTTCTTTCTCGCCTGAACATCTCATGGCACTAAAATACAAGCTAACTGAATTCATGAATACGTCATCTCAATATCCCCCATATAATACTTACCAAAAGGTACGCATTCAATAGATCTTTACTAGATGAAGCAATACAGTCTACTTCAAGCCATTATGCATAGGTAGAAATTAGCACCTGGCATTTGATAACCTTTAAGCTGAGATCACTTCAACAGTGTAGGAGAAAGGTGTTTAAAAACGTACTGGCATAAGGAAGGGGCAGTCGTCAGCTCTGCAGAGCTTGGTGACACAATGGAGGAAGACCGTGGACATCTTCTGATTTTTGTGCTTCACAAATCGGAACACCTCAAAGGAAAACCGGCCCCGCTGGCTTCTGCCATTTTCAATGACAGTGGTCTGAGGATCTTTGTCACAGCTGCATTTCGGGGAGTGTGAAAACAGCACATCATTGGAAAGTCTACCGAGTCTTTAAAATTATGTAATTCCTGAAGTATTAAGGGCCCCTCATTACACTATGAACTAATAGAACCATGCCATGTTATGCTCTTTAAAGCATAAGCTAATTCAATAGTTACGAGTTACAAGAGTAACCTAGATCATAATATTTAAACAGAGTAGTGTGTGATTACAATATCCCTATCAAATTCAGGAGAATTACACAGTGTACTTCCGCTCATGAACTTATTTCACGATTCTGGAAAAGGTGATCATGCTCCTGTTCACCATTAGTTGCAGAGTTCACAAATAGAAACAAAATTTCACCAAGTACTTCCTTTTGGGAAACAAATTATTTGCAAATAAACACAATTGTGAACCTAGGCACCACTGTACTCTCACGGAGTTAAAAAATCCAATTATAAAATACATAGTGTGAGAAGACTCCCTCCCATCTATGCCCTTGTCCACATCATTTCACGAACCTTTCAGAACTGACTATTTATTTTTGCATTGTCCCAAGATACATGAAAATAGAAGCATAGACTATATTCTTATTGTCCCTTCCTCCTTAAACCAATATTTAAAAAAAGATTTGACAGCATATCCTATGGCTCTTTCCATGTTACTATGTGGAGAGCCTCTCATTCTTTTTACACAGCTATATAGTATTCCAGCATGTACATCTGCTAAGGTTTATTTGATCAGTTTCCTGCTTTATGTATACTTTCATTATTCTAATCATTCAGTCTTTTAAAACAAAACAATAATAAATATCCTTAGGATATATAAGGTAGAACACATTAAAAATGTCATATATAAAATATACTTCTATTTAAAAGCTATTTCCACATTGCTTACAAATTTTGCCATTTGGGGACTTTAGCAGCAATGTATAAAAACAACCCTTATTTTTTCAGAGTTTCATTCACAAAGTATATTGGTAAAATTTTGGACTATTCCCTATTTGATAATAAAAGGAAATTATCACCATGTAATGTTAGTTCACATTTGTTTCAGTGTGAGTTTGCATTTCTTTCCCTATACATTAGAGCCATTTGTTGCCTTTCTGAAAAGTGTTTCTGTATTTAGTTCAGGTGCTGCTGTGATGCTGGCCTCTCTCTCTCCCGTGCTTAGAAGTTCTCGGAGAGCAGGAGGAATCATTCCTGATTTGCTGTGTAAATTCCCAATCTTTTTAGTTTGCTGTTTGGCTGTAAAGTTTTACAGGTAATTTGCAAATTCTTCTGTTCCATTTCTAAAACTATGTTTTACATTTAAATTAAAGATATACTTCATAGTTTATTATGCTGTATTGAGTGACATGTACAGCCCACACTATTTTATCTCTTGTGCTTATAAATTCAGTAATTAAAAATCTGCTTTACCCACTGATTTGTGGCTCTACAGTCTATCAGATAGAAATCCTTATGTTTTGAGATCTATTTATCTAACTAGTCTATATCTTCTACCAATATGTACATTCTTACACAATATCACATTCCTTTTATAACTTAGAGTTTTTACTGTGACATCTAGGAGGGTCATAACCACCTCATTTCTGTGTTGATTCCCTATTCATCTTTCTAAATTTTTATTTGTCATTTACCTCTTTTTTCTCTATTACATTAGTTTATAATTCTCTTATTTTTTCAAAGTAAGTAAAAGTAGGGTTACTTTTTACTTAACTGATCACAAAATGTTGGTTTACATTTCAATTTTTTATATAAATGTCAGAGGTTTTCAAACTTCAGAGTAATAAAGACTTTCTTTTTTCTGACATTTTATAAATTGCTTCTCCTGGAGATACACGTTCCTGATCATCTCATTTAGATCTTCTGTGTACTTACCTGATTGTTGGCCACCAGAATTCAGTTTTCAGCTAGGTTTAATTCTCCAATTTTTATTGTATTTCTGACTGTCTTTCTCAATTTTTTCTACTTTCCACTTTATGAAAACTCAATGTTATTCAAAGTATCTTTTTACTATTTTAAGTATTTTTTCTTTAAATTTGGAAAAATGACCCTAAATTATCTTATTAAATATTTTTGTTATTATGGTTTCATTTGAGAGGATTCTAACTATGCACGTTATACGTATATTAAATTTCCTTCACCTACCCTTTTTCTATCATTCCTGTTTTGATCTCTTTTAATTTTTCCTTTATATTTTTGTGCTTCTTATTTCTGTCTTCCATGTCTCATTCTGCACTTTCTTCTGTGTCTGTGCTTTCTTGAATAATTACTAATTATGTCTTTCTTTTTGGTAATAGACTTCTTACTTTCATCTTAAATTCTTCCTGTCCTTTTTCACAATATCAGGCCTTCTTTTAAGCATCTTATTTTTACTCACCTGAGTTCTTATAATTCTGTCTTCATAACTATAATTACTTTTTAATTATTTTAAAATTAATATTGGAATGTTCAAGTACAAATTTCATCTGCCCTATGAAAATATGTTTTTGTCTGGTGAACTTCGTTCATCTTTAAAATTGTTTTGTGGCATTTTCAACCTCTTTCTTTACTTAATTGAACTGATAAATGACTGTACTTGTTCAGTATTCATATTTGAAAACTTTGGGTTTCCCTCGACTTCTTAATTTCAGGAAACTCTCAAGCAACTGCGAGTCAGTGATGAACTTTTTCAAAGCTTTCCTCAAATCCCGGGCTCCTTCTTCTACTTCACAGTGAAAGACGAACCGGGTAGCTGTGTAGCACCCGTACGGCAGCGTTTTCTCTACCCTACTGAACTTTGAGATAGTTTTACCATCACCCCTCTGTTCCTCGGACCCATTTCCCAGCTTTGCCTACAAGGGCAGCCCCCTCTTGTCCGGTGACCCTTAGGTTTACAAGCGGTACTGCTACTGCTGCTTTATGAGGTCTACCGCTTCTGAGGCTCCGGACACTAGCTACCCCTTCGTTTTGATCTTTTCCAGCCCCTTTGACTGATCCTGCCCGTGCGCCTAGCCGCTCACTCACAGAGGCCCCTCCGCTTGCAGACGTGCCTTTCTCCAGGGTGCTCGGGAGACCGCCGCCAGCAGGACCTCTCAGCTCCCAGCTTGCTTCCCTTTCTTCCATTTTTCTCTGCACTGCCTCCTGCACAGTGTTTACTTCCTCCTAACTACTTTGACCAACACTGATCATAATTTGGACACATTCTCTGCCTAGATTCACACAAGGGTGTCATTTCGCAGAAGCTTGTGTGAGGGGGCCATTGTTTCATGTTTGTTTTGTTACATGTTCTCCTCTTGCAAGTTTTCTCTGACACAACTGAAAAGATTCGGAATTAAGCCGCCATCGTATTCATATTAGTAGTCTTGAGGATCACACTGCAGATGCATAATACTTGATCATCAGAGAAATTTTCACAAAAGAGAAATGGCAAAACGGAGTGATACAAAATGTTCCCATATATAAATAACAACTGAGAACATTTTGAGGATTTTCCTTACTCTCTGTCCTATCATAGGGATGGAGGCCCACTGTATATATACAATGTTTATACTGATTCTTTCCCTTCATATTTTAATATACTTAAATATTAAAGAGCTACATATTTCTAAGGCTATAAGAACCAAGAAGACAAAAAAGAGAAAAAAAAAAAAAAAGCCAACTCTTTCTCCCTTTAATAAATAACCACCTGACTATAGTATCTGTGTGAACTGTCAGTGCACTGCTTCTCCCTTCTTATTGCTGAATCTCCCATTTTTTCCTGGGTTTTACTATTTTAAATAATGTCAATAGACGAACCCAGTAAATATTATAAAATATACTTCTCAATTTATGAAAATGAAATGAAACAATATGAAATCTCTTAAAACTTGATACATACTGACATCCCACACCATATTTCCAGCAGCAGAGTGTATGTCTGTTCTGACCACACCCTCTGAACATCACCTAAACCTTAATTAGCTGATAAAACACATTCCTTTGGTTTCCCATTATATTGTTTCCATCATGTGTCAAAAAGCTGTAATGATCAGAGCCAACTGCATTTTGCAGGCCTGATGAGAAGACATTGCCTGACTCTCTTTTCTACTGTCAGATAAAAATGCTGAAAAGGAGCTAGAATGACTGCATGGTTTTATGATCAATGTCCCCTTCCTCCAAATGTAGATTACATTCACTCTGTCATTGTCTATCGGGGAATGAAGTTGAAGTTATTGGCTCTGACTTTAAAAAAAAAGAGTTGTAGGCTATGATATACTTTCATATTAAATACTGATAAATGATCAAAAGCATTTTGGAGTCTAAATTATCCAGACAATTACTTTAATTGTGCTCTCCCTTGACATATGATATGGGCTAGCTGCAGATAAATAATACCATCCCATTGCCTTTCTCTTATTGCTAATAATGTCCTAACATGTTTTACTAAGACAGTGAAATATTCTCACATCTCCTGAACATGAACAAAACATCTTAGTGGACCTCACATAGTTACAACTCTCATTCAACAAAAGCCTTATCAGCATTTTGTATTGAAAACTGTTCTTAACTTTAATTCTAGCTATCAAAGGACTAAAAATTCGAAACATTAACCTTTAAATCTGAAAACCACAGTACTGCCCTATCATTTGTTCATCTAATCCAGGGTTTCCATTTCAGTTGTCTACAACTGAGTCTTCGGTATCAGCACAAGAGTTAGCCACCTACCTAAGGAAGAGGTCATACCGAATGTCATCATTTGGGTTTCCTGATGGGGTTGTGTAGCAGTAATCCATTAAGACGTTCCACCTGCAGAGAGAGGCAAACAGAATCTCAACTTGGAATCCCCTTTTGGTGTTTTGTTTTGTTTTGTTTATTTTAAAAATAAAAGGAGGAAAACATGAGCAGAATCCCCTTTTGGATGTTGGTTATTAGTCCAAAGGACCTAAATGTTAACAAACTTATCACACGGAATGTAGTTTTTGTTACTTATTAGTAGAAGCTTCTTGTTAATTAAAACTTTCTTCTAGAAAGAACATGTTTAAAAATCTGTAATTCTCATCCCCACATGTGGGGTTAAGGCTGATGCCACACACAGAGAAAATTGTGGAAAGGGTCAGTGAATAATCAAATTCAAAAGGAAAAATGCCGCAACGTAAGCTACATAAATGCTTGTGTGTTTCACTGCGAACGGTGCTCTTCTGTTTCTAGAAAGTACTGTCTCTAACACAAGGCAGATGCAGAAATCACACGCCCGCCTCAGGGGCGTGGGAGTCCACCATGGACGGCTTGTGAGGAAGAAGAAAGCCACAAGGCACAAGGCCAGGCTGGACCTAGATTTCAACATGGCTTCCTTCAGCTGTAGCTGTCAGAAGAAAACAAACACATGGAAAGTGAATACCAATAACACAAAAATCCTGTATTTTTTAAGGTATTTTAAGGCAGTCACATATATCAGTGATTAGAGAGAAAGGCAGAAGGTAAAACAGAACCAAAATTCTAGAATATATCAATCTCTTCAGTATGCAAAGTTTAACAATATACAAGAACATCCCCAAATAATGTACACATTACATTTTTATAGGACAAGATTACACCTTCAGCTTTTGAATTTCACTTCTGTTTTGATCAGTCTAAATTTCCTGAGTATTGTAGAAAACTAAACTGATTTTGTTCTTTGCACAAGTGGTCCTGAATACTTATAAATATAATTTTGGTTCATATCCTTATGGAGACAATTCTTTGGTTTTTTTTTTTACTAAATAGTAATATACATACAGGAAAGTACAAAAATCAAAAGTGTTCAAAAATGACTAACATATCTGGTTAATCATCTTCCTGATGAAGAAATAGCACATTCTGGACATTTCTCAAAAATCTCCCCATGCCTTCTTCCAACCACCACCTCTCTTTCTGTGTGAGAGGACTTGTTATTCTCCAATGAATGACATAAAATGACTGTCAGCCCTTAAACTTTGCAAATTTTTGTTTCTTCTTACTAGTTTGCCTAAACGATGTAGCAGTGACAATACTTTTCAACTGAATTTAGAAATGAATGAGTTAACTTTATGACTCGGGAGCCAGCAAAATGTCAGAGTTTGAAAATACCTGCCATCCAGATTAGTAGCCTGCACAGCTGCAAATACTTTGGTTTTCAGAGGTAATCCTATACTTGGGATAATTAGCTGTTGGCTGTAGGTTGAATCCTAGGGATGAAATAATAAACAATTAATCTGTCATTGCTTTCCAACAAAGCGCAGTTACCACCTACAACAGTGTTGTAGAAAAACGGTAGGTAAATCAGCATAAATATACACAACCCACTACCAAAGGAGTTTATTTAATCCTCTGGCTTCTAGCAGAACTTCCCTTAAACCATACCTATGTAGCAAACTGATTTCTGTTGATAAATATTTTCCTTTCCATAATTGTTAATAGTCATAATTTAAATTATATCCAATGGTCAGTGATTAATATTGTTTGCTTACTACTCAATAGCCAATAGCCACTGTTTATTTAAATTAGTATTTCATTTCTTAAATTATATTAGTGCTAATGTTCAGTTCTTTTAAAGGAAATCAGTTTAGTCTTTATTTTTGGAGTATTAGGCCTTACACTTTTGTTGATTTTTATTCACCCAAAATCACTTCTCTGCTAACTTGAAATTACCAAAATATAGTTGAAATCTAAAAAAAAAAGTTCAACGCATTCTCTGAATTGCCAAAATGCATGCCACAGAGTCCAGCACCAAACTACTTGATGGTCATTTTTAGAATGGTGTCTCACGGCTTCATTTTAATGTCCTGGCCCTTAATTTAGAGCAGTTCTATGTATAGCAATGTAGCCTATATAGCATTCCCCAACCTACAGTATTAAAACAGCAAATTAGAAATTAAGCCAGAGTGTCTATAATCTAAAAATGAAGAAAAATACAGAAAACAATACAGAATACAAATAGAAAAATGCTCAAAATTTAAGCACTTCGTTTTGCCTTGCAGGAAGTTGTTTCCCCACTGTCTGAGTTTTGCAACTCTAAAGATATTGCAGCTTTGTAACAAAAGAACATTTTTAATGTTCATTAAGAAGTCTTAAAGTCACTAAAGACAGGTAAAATACCTAGCTGGAAAGAAATCAACATATTTTGAATTTTTAAAATTAAAGCAATAATAGTTTGGATACTTCGCTTCTGAAAAAAATTTATATTCACGTGGAATATCTCACTCTCAAGTAAAACCAGATAAATAATGGAATATAAAATGTATTTAGAAAGTGTTATCTTGTTATTTTGTGTTTCAAATTATTTTCTATATTTCTGTTATAAATTATAACAACTCTTCAAACCATATCTGATAGGTAGCATTTTATTTAATGATCTCCTTGCTTCCTTTCCCAGTGTCTCCAAGTAAACTACATTTTATTAACCAGCTGCTTTTTTATATGTTTGTATCTGTATTGTCCCAAAGAATGTCTGCTTCCCTTACAAGTCGTGTATTGCTAGACTATTTGAAAATCATAAATGACTCAGTTGTGATTTCATCATTAATCATCAACGTTTTCCTCCTGAGAATCATTACCTAAGAGGTAATTTTTTGACTTTATTTGGTACAGTTGCCTCTACTCTTCTCAGTGCTGTATAGTTCCTGTAATCAATTTTATGTTAGTTTTATTCCAATGTTTAAAAAATATTCATAATTCCCACAACAGTTTTGCAGATCTATTGTTTCTGTACCTGCTCAGAAGACACTAAACACAACATTTAGGTACAATTCGTGATACACAATACATGAGGCATTTTCTCTTTCAATGTCCAAAGAGAAAACTGTTATTTTTACATTACACAGAAATTAGGGCACAATTCAACTCAAAATAGCCATCATGTATGAAAACCTCATGGACAATTAAAATTATTGTTTTTATCAATATAATTTTTCTGACTGCATTTCTTATATACTGGTATAAATAAAAATAAACTAAAAGTTCGTGCTACATTTAAATTGGAAGCAACATTCCTCCTCCAAAAAACAAACCAGAAAATAAGTCTTTAGTAGTAGATAGGCAATATAACATTATTTCACTCCTCTGGGTTAAAAAAAATCAAAAACTGCATGCAAAAGAGAAAAACGGTATTTAAGTTTTCTAATGGTATGAAATGGTATTTAATTTTAAATACCACAATAAAATTAAAGTTGGTAGCTAAATGTTGGCATTCAAAGGAATAATAAATATGGTTTGCAAAAGATCTGTGAAATTTTGTCAAATTGTTTGTAGTAAAAATTAGTAAGCTTTTAATGTCTTGAAAATATTATGATAGCATCACATTAAAAGACTCGTCTGGAGCACTCAAACGTCTACCCTGCACCCCAGTGATGGATGGGTGTTATTCTGATTGTTCAGGTTCATACACTGTACAATGAGAGGGATGAACTACACTCTTTAGCTGACAGTAATGTATCAATACAGGTTCATCAATTGCAACAAATATTTCACATAAATGCAAGATCAGTAATAGATGAAACAATGTGAATGGATAGGACTGTGTATGAGAATGCTACAACTTTTTAATCAATGTTCCATAAAGCTAAACTTGCTCTAAAAATGAAATCTGTTGACTTTGGAAAAATTTAAAACTACTCTGTAGTAAATTATTGAATTTTACTAAATGACTTGTTAGTAAGAAACAACAATTTAAATTTTGATTTAGTTAAACTCAACCATCAATAATGTATGTATTGCAAACTCACCAAAATGAGGAAAATTCTGGCACTACCTATTTCACTTATGGTCTGATATCAAAAAATTGGTTAGCTTTAACAACAGAATCAAAATATTGAAGTCAGTATTAAATTATAGGCTTTTATTTAGCATCGGGTTTCCAAAAACTCTTTGAAGGTATGTCAGGGCTCCAGTACCATTTCTAGTGGTAGACCTTAACAAATGTCCTCAGTGCTACAATTCAACATTTTTATTTGCTGCTTTTCCAGTGAGAATGATTTAATTTCCCAGAAAATAAAACATCATTAAATCTTGTGCCAACATACTTTTTACTTTTTTAAGACAGAAGTCTTATCTTTGCTTCAATTACAGTAAATAATATTGACTCTAAATGTTTCACCTCAATTCTCCCATGGAGAGCTTCACATATAAAGCAACAGATAGAATCTGTCCAATTTAGTTATTTATATAAATACTTCTCACAACAGTAAGAAATATCTGACCATATTGGGAACAAATATTCACACATACTTGGTGATTATTATACAACCAAGTAACCCGGCAGCTTCTCTTTGCGGAAGGAAGTTTAGAAATGACAGAAAGGCAATCTCCATTCTAACACATTTTAATTTGTTGTTTAGAGCTCTGTGGTGTCAGACTACAAACTTATAAACATGATTTTTTAAATGCCTTTGGAAAATGTCCTACTACAATATTTATAGCTCATTATATTCAAAGTGTAAAGCACTGACTTTTAAATCAGCTGCATGAATTATAACCCAATGCCATGATGACATGAATAATAATGCAAAAATCAGATTCATAATTTACAAAAATGTTGGTTGATAGATTGAAAAATTGATATTTAAATCAGGCATTTAAAATGTATGAATAAAATTTTTAATCAACATTAAAATATCATTTGGGGGATTAATGTTACAGTTATAAATAGAAATGCATGTATTTTTCACATTCCGCTGCCACTGTCAATATTTACATGATGAAAGTTTAGACAATGCTCTGTCTTTTGTCCAAATTATTTCAGATGTGGCAAAACTGTCACTAGCCAAACTCATACTGAACATATTGACACATTCATCTCCAAGGAAGCCTCCAAGTGAAGTATCATTTGGACTTTCTGTACCTTTAAACCATGGAAATATTCTCCCCAAACCTTGACGCCATCCAGAGCTGTGCATACACACATACATATATATATACACAAGTAAATTTAGATAGACACTTGGAGTAAGTACTACTGAATCACTTTTCTGATATAAAATTTAAATCCTTTGTCAACTTTTAGAAAATTTAATGGAGTTTGTAGCTACCTTTATGACTAAGATACATGAAAGTGGTAGGAAAGATGGATAAATGCTCCTAAAGTATAATAGGATTAATGTGACTTCAATAGATTTTTTTGTATGAAACCATTCCCACAAATGGCTCCTCATAACAATGAAAGCGAATATGACACCTTTCCCTCATCCACTCACGTTGTACAGGAGCAGGTTCAAAGTGCTGACAAATGTTCCGTTGTTCTCTCTCACAGAAATAGCAGCTGAGGACCTGGAACAGATGCAGAAGAGAGAAAGCGCCGATGGGATGTTAAGCTAAAATTTGTAGTTACACCTGACTGTTAGAGGTCAGGCAATGAAAACCCTTGCAGCTGACATACTTTTAACTAGACCTAAGTGAGTATGTTATTTAAAATCACTAAATAAATAATAAAAAGACAGATCTTTTCATATATAAAGGCATCTTCTTTCAATGTTGTGTTACATATGTGAGAAAACATTTCATTAGAACTTGAACTGAATGGAAATATTCTTTCATCATTTCCTTTGGAAGTTTTATGAGATCAAGGATTTTGCTTTACTTTGCTCACTGCTAGAATATCACATTACAAGTTGTAGATGTGTAATCAGTATTGACTGAATAAATGAATATTCTGTAGATATTAGACCTGAGGAATGTGTTCAGTGTGGGCGGCAGAGGCAAAGTGAGAAATGCTTCCCCCTACTTCTCTATCCTTTTAACCAAGGATTTTCTTTTCTCATTTTTCACATCATTTTTGCTTTCAGCCAAATTACTTATCATTGCTACGCTGTTAAAATCAGCTATGAGCATTTTTTAAACAGAAACCCAATAGAGTATCCATGTTACCTTGAAACCAAGATTAAATAATAACTAGGACTTCATGGTAACAAACACCAACATTGCAAAGGAAAAGTTTCCACACAATCGCCCCATATATCTGACCAATCCTGGTGATTATATTATGATGTGGATACAGCCATGGCTTCGAAGAACATATGTACTTTGGAAATCATAAGTGAAAACATGACTGTGAGCAACAACCTCAGTCATGTCCTGGGTTACCTTTCCAAGAGAATCAGGCACCCATATACCTCTGCAGAAGTCAGGGAGACTTCCTGGAATCTAGATCAGCAAAACCCCACATGAGGCCCTAAGGCAGGAAGGAACAGGCAGGACCAGCAGGTAGAGTTACAGTTGGATGACAGACAGATGCACACATACATGCATATATACATACAGGTGGATAATTAGACTTAATACGTTTCTTATTGCATTGAGTTTGGCTATTCTCAACATAGCCTGCTATTATTACAAATCCCTTACAAACAAGGACTCGAACATAAGGACAATATGAGAAAGCAGGAACAGAACATGAACTTACGAAGCAAGCTGGGTGTTATTAACCAGGTATTCCAATGGATAACTACAGCTAAATTTGTAAAGAAGTCCAGGCAGATAACTGATGATAGCTGGTGGGTCTGGAGTATCAATGTATCCTGAAATATTTCCTATCTGTACTGAAGTTGCATTTCCATGAGAACTTACTCCAGGAATTGTGGATACCTGTCAGAACGGTAGATCAAGTTCAGTGATTAAGCAGCTACGTATCAATCTAGGCACATTATAAGCAAATGTAACACTATACCAGTCATCTTTTTGGTCCTGATTGAACTGCAACATGGAAGCTTTTGAATTATGTGCACATAGTGTTGTTCATGTTATTATATGTCTTTAAGTGAAACTTGCTTTTTTAAAGAAATACTCATTTCATAAGTAAAAGAAAGATTATGTCTTCAGAGAGCTACAACCAGTAAGTCCAAAATGACTTACGGATAATGTCGAGATTCCTTGGCATGGCTTAACAGATTCGCATCAGTCTACTCCTGCCCCCACATTGCTTCGTATCCCAGGTTGCTAGCCTGGATAATAATGCCCCTGCCTCCCTGGCCCTCTTTGCTACGGCTTTTGAGCACACTGCATCAGGGATCACTCGCCCCCACTGTCTCACCAGGGTCCCTCTTATTCGTTCACAGACCCTCATCTTCCCGGGTTACTTCCTCCGGGGCCTCCACCGTGGAATGGCGGGAAGTACGGCGCCTGAACAGCCGGCTCCCTTGACAGTTCTCTCCGACGTCAGCGTTCCCTACGGGCAGAGCCCTTCTCCGCCTAGTTCACTTTCGCGTCTTCAACACAGCACCAGCACCATGACTACACAAATGAGTTGTGCACGATAAGTGAGTCCCAGCTTCTCTGAGGACTAGTCTTCCCAGGGTCTTCTGATGTGGCTCGTGGGGATTCTCATTCTCTTCCTGGGCAACGGTTCACAGGTGAGTCCCAGGAGAATCACCAAGTCCCAGCAGTTAGGGCAAAATGACGTCTCTGTGTGAGTTTCCTTGAATCTGCTTAGCTTTCGTTGCATTCTTCAATCCTTCTAAAATTGATGAACTACCACATAAGGAATAATGATACTAATGTTCCTGATCTTCATAAAACCGAGAAAGGACATGGTTTCTTTTCCCACAATAATAAATATAATGAGATGTAATACGACACTCAGTTAATACTTTCAGCAGCTGTTGCTGATCCTGGGAGTGCTTAATTTTCAGTAGTAGAGAAAACTTTACACATGAACCTAACAGCACATGGTCAAAGCTGAGGCAGTTATTTAGCTAATTCACAAACGGAGCAAGATCTGTATGAATGAGAACACCTTTAGTCTAACCCAGTGATCTAGTCTCCTCGTGCAGGAATGCCTTGGAGAAGGCTCAAAATTGATGACATTTAAGGAAAGCATGAAACATAAGGAAACGTTTCCATCCTCTCACTGTTTGCCTGACTTGCTAGCTAAGTATACCAATCCTGTCTGTGAACACACACACATGCACACACACACATGCACATGCAGTTTTTTAAAATTAGAGTAACTCAGCTTCATAAAAAAATAAAATGCATACACAGAGAGAGAAAAAGAACTTTTTCCTGGATTATTTTCTCAGCAATACAGCAAGCTTACTTAAATCCTTCAATAAAATGCTTTGAGGCATGGTGGGAGGAGCGAGACACCTCTGACCCACACCGACCCCCTCCACAAGGAAGCAGGACGTGCAGTAACCCACCCGCCCCTCCTTTGGCCCACCTCACAACCTCTCTAACATGGCTCAGAGAGACTAATAAACATTTTAATAAAAACAGTCAACAGTACCCAACTTTCAGGCACAGAAATGGGTAAGGGCACAATATTCCACCTGGCCTTCAAAGTAGATCTCTTTCCCTGTCTTCTACCTCCCACCAAATCTTAGAAACTACGCCCTTAGAATCATCAAGCCTTCCCTTTTAGTCCTAAACAAGAGTTTATTAAGGTAGAAGCCAGTTTCTCTTTTCCTGTGCTATGTGGTCATGCACATTGATCTCTTTGTTTTTGCTAGGATTTTCTCATAGGGCTATATATGAACAAGCAAAACAAAATATGGTACTAAGTGAACTTCACTGCAAATAATATCCCTCTCAAAATATCAATGTGAATTCACTTTAAATATCTGAGGAATCTGTTCCTTATTCAATTCTATTTTTGATTCAGTGAATTAATAAATAGGTGAATGGCAACTAATAGTTCTCATTCTGGGTGGAAATTTTCATACAACTGCTTTTATTTTTAAAATGACTGGAGAGGATATACTACTAGGATTTCAAGGGCAAAATTGATTATGATAAACACCTTGAAATGCACAGGACAGTCCTATACAATGAAGAACTTCACATTAGAAATACTGACTTTTCTTTAACAGAACACTGATATGGGTCGTTCAGTGGCAAACATGAAAGTAGTTTCAAGTTTGCCATGTTATCGTTAACCTTCCTTTCTGAATGAGGTCACTAAAGTAAAATAGGCCAAGAGGTTCACAGCCAGACTCACTAGAACAAACATTATTTCTAAGATCAGATGATTCTGTAAAAAGCCCAGTGAATATGGCTAAGGACAAACTGCAGAGAAGTGCCCATCAGTGTCACTCACGCAGGAGAACGTTGCTCAGAGCAGCACAGCTGACCTTAAGCCCCTCAACTGCCCAGCTGCTATAAACACAACCATTATTGGAAGACAGAATTTTGTATTTGGAAATGCAGGCCTGAAACAAGCAGAAGAGAGCGACTTATTCAGTTTTATTGGCGTTTCTTTTTCCTTGAAGGGTAGATTGGGCTTCATTTTATGAAGCGGGGAACATTCTTATTTATGATTCCAGGTGAAAACACAATTCCACAGTAATCTTACCACTAGGTTGTTTCCACAGCCCTCCAAGGTGCTCAGATTGATGATGAAAATGACCACCGCTGGAAAGGAGTTGTTATTGATGAACCCCCTGCAGTGGGAATCCCCATGCCTTCCATTTAGGGCCAGATCTGTTTCAGAGTAACCGGAGAAGAGTACCGTGCAAAAATTAATCTTCATCGTAATGGTCTGCACCCCGCAGTAGACATTAATGTCTCTCTCAGCTGAAACAAAAATTACAGAAGAAACAAATTTAAGTCAGAAGAAGCACAGTAGAGAGTATACGAATAAGGTTTACGTCCCCTGATACATTTATCATCTCTTTAGTCTAACATTTGCTAGACTTGAACACACGATAATCATATATGTAAATTACTAGGATAAGTAGCCAGGAAAAATAGTCTTTGACTTAGTTATTCAGGGAAACATCTTTGAATGTAGAGATTATAGTTCACCTCTGTTTCTTTATGTCTGCTGTTCAGTGGCTATGCATTAAATGTCAGTCAAGTACCGTTGAATGATAGAATTGAGTGGAAAAAAATCAGGTTGCTTAGGAGACTCAGAACTAGAGTCGCTGAATTATTCAGATCTGTCTAGAATAAAACTCTATACAAATGCTACACTTTCCAAACTGTAAGGAAGAAGCAGTTTTAAAAATTCACCCTAAATCAAATCGTTAGGCACTTTTGTACATGCTAACTCATCGGGGATATAGACACAAAAGTCAGCCAGAAAAATTTCATTTTGCATAGCATATATTAAATCATATTAGAGAAAGGAAATGAAAAATAGTGTGCTGGTATTATAAACTAATACTAAGAGCTTACTCTGGAAGAAAATTTTGCAAATGACTATGCATGCCTCAAGCAAAGAGTGAACTAGGCACTTAAATGTAAAACATATTTTGCAAAGGTTTTCGTGACTGTGATTTGTCAGTGACAAAGGCGCTCCTACGTCTATAGAAGTGACCACACACATACACACATGCAAACAAGCTTTTCATGTGTCCATTATTTTCTGCAGATAACAAATAAAGACAATGTATGCAGAACAGAGACAGAGATTTTCCTTTATCAGTGTTGATAATGTCTATGGTCTGAATTATGTCCTCTCCCAAAAAAAATAGAAAATCCTAGTCTCTCTTCCTGAAGACTTTATCCGGAGATGAGGTTGTTATAATGTATGACCTCCTGTATAGCTCATCCAGGAGGAGAGTAAGTGCCAATCAAATATGACAGATGTCTTTATAAAAGGAACGTGCTCTGAGGTGACAAACACACAGGAGGGACCACCATGTAAAGACCGAGGATTGGAGTGATGTACCCGGAAACCAAAGAACCCCAAAATTGTCCTGGCACAGCACCAGCAGTAAGAAGAAGTTCTTCCAGACTCTCCAAGGGAGCTTGCCTCTGCCTTCATTTTGAATTTCTGGCTCAAATCTGGAAGACAGTGAATGTCAATTGTTCTCAATTATCCTGTGAGAGACTAAGTTTCTGCCATTCTAAATCTCCTTCTGTGCGTTGCTTTGTTATGCAAGCTCAGGGAAACTAATACAGTGACCTCACCTCTTCTTAACCCTCTCTCACCAATGAAACAGAAAAGGTGAAACAAGCATTAGGTTTGCAAAATGCAGAAACTAACAAATAATTAATTATGCTATCTGGGGAAATTACCTTGATTGCTCAAAAAGGAAAAACTGGAAAAAGTAAAATGTATTTTTCGCAAATGATAGGATGTTTATCTAAGAAATATGTAAGTGGCATTCAAGATTTTTAGCGTAGAATAATTTTTTTATAAACAGCCCAGCCTTAAGTTACGTTCAATGGCATGTCTCTTTGGGATATTTATTGTCTATAGAGGTTTTTGCTAGAAAACTGACTCCTATTTTCAGGATGTGAATAAATCAATAAGAAATTTCTATGATTGGTGATAATTTTAAATCGTTACAATAACATAAAGAAAAATGAAAAACATTTTCCTGGACAAAAGGCAAGTAACAGGGTAAGTGTTAGGGAATATTGAAAGAAATGGTCCTTTTGTAGCTAAAACAGTGAAATGACTTAATTAAAAGCATACTTTGCCAACATAAGAAAAAGCAAATAACGAAACTTGGAAGAAAATGTCTATAGCTTTCACCAACAATGACTGTTTAAGTGCAACCATAATTTTGAATGATATTCTCCTAGAATAAGAAAGTTAATTTTTAAATATTGATTCAATATCTCTGAACTTCAGAATACATTTTAAACATATCAGCTTTTTCTCTACTGACTTGCTATTCCTTGGCTCATTCCACCCTCAACTTTACCCTGCAGTATTGCGTTAACCTCTTTGTCAGTCTCTTCCTTTCAACTTTTTAATCTTCTCCAATTAACGTAGTTGTTAGCACATTAATCCAGTCACGTCAGTGTTTTACTGAGATCTTCAGCAATTTTTCATTTGACCAGTGCCAAAGTCCACACTCTGGGCCGGATCTGTGACCTGGCCACCTCTGTATTTTCATCTCTCTTTTCTATTAATACAGGAAAAAATATAATTCCCGAATTGTTAGATGTCAAATATGCCATGTTTGTTGTCCCATAACATCAAAGAATGAAGTCACTAACCAAAGGAGGAAGTTAGGAGAGTTTTATTGGAAATAAAGAGAAGAAGAATAGCTCCTGGACTTCCAAGAGGAGCCCAGAATGAGTGGCTACCAAGGGCCTTTGTTGGGGGTAATTTATACAGCGAAGTCACAACATGGGTAGAATGTGGGTCAAACTCCACCAACCTGTAGGATTAAAAGTATTGCCGCTTAGCTAATACTGATCAAATAGGGAAATAAGTCACGTAGCAAGAACAGAGGTCGTTTTGGAAAGAACAGAGGTTATTTTGGGGAATGGATGGGTCAGATGCTCCGGGCAACCACCTGGGCATCTGATACCTGCTTGGGATCACTGGACCAGGTGGTGCAAATTACAGTCTAATCTCAAACTGCTGCTTATGCCCCAGGGAGGTGTGCAGGCCTGGCCATTGCATCTCCATCTCACTTCCAGTCACAAACTTTACGTCTTTATCTTTTGGTGCTGACTTCTTTGAGGGCCCAGTCCCTCTCTGACTGTATATTATTTTCTATCTAATTTAGCCTATAATACTATCACTCTTGCTGTCTTAATCTGTTAAACCAAGGGTCTTCCAGTTGTTTAAGATCACACTGAGCAACAGATGCCGGGATACTGCTTACCTCCTGAGATAACATTTTCTGGCGTGGGGTGCAAGGAAAATTTAGAGGGAAGATAACGGTGTTCTCTGCCTTGATCGGAGTGAGGGCTATATAAATGTACACAAATACTAAAACTTCATACTGTGGTTAAAGGATTGGTACATCTTATTATGAATAAATTACTGTTCAGGAGAGTACAGTAACTATTTAAACATCATGACACAGCTCCATGCCCAAGGGCTTCAATCAGCACCTTCTTCTGCTTTATTTTTTTTTTATTTTTTTATTTTTTGGTTTTTTTGGTTTTTCTCCGGTACCGGGAACCAAACTCACGACCTTGCGCTTGCCAGGCAGGCGCTTTTGCCGCTGAGCTAAATCCCCAGCCCCCACCTTCTTCTGCTTTAGATGCTCCTGTGATGCACAAGATTTGCCTCAGTGACTCCTACTCATGCTTCAGGCCTGGAATTTGATTTCTTTTCACCAAAGATGTTTTGATCCCGAATCTAAAGAATGCCACTTTTTGTTTCATGCTGTCATATTATTTTAAAACCACACATGCTTTTGTACATAGTCCAGTAAACTGCAAATCCCAGAAAGCAGGAAGGCTATCATAGTCATTGATGTGAGAATTTATACTTTATAATCGCAGAAAGTGCTGGAACAATATTCTGCGCTAGGGACTGTAGTCCTGATCTCAAGCATTTCACGGCTTATTGGGCACATTAGCACGCCCCACATGACAGAAAGGTGCCGGGGAGAGCTAAGAGGTGGCAGAGGAAGCCAATTTAGTCCACATCAGCTGGTCAGGCGCAGCCTCACGGAGAAAAAGGCCTTGATTTTAGTTTGGAGGGTTAGTCACCTAAAGGAGAGGAAAATTTATAATACAGAGGGGGCAGTGTGAATAATAAAATACACTCAGGCTGTGTGGGAGCCAGACAGTTCCGCTTTCATTAGGATTTGAAATGCAAAGGAAAAAATGAGAGGGGATGAGGTAGGCACAGGTAAGATCACAGTAAGCTCAGCATGTAAACTGGTCGCATGTCAGTACCAAATCACATGCCAAATCAAATCCTCAACTATTAGAGTTTACTATGAGTTTGCTTTATACCCTGAGAGCAAATATTGTGGTGTTATTTGCTATATCATAACTATGACAAAGTGAATACGTATCAATAAATGAAAAAATGAGAGACATTATTTTCTTTAGCTTAAACCAGGCAATGACTTTAATTTCCTGTCCTCTGTTTGAGGGAATTAATTGATGCTGGCACATCCTAAGAAATGGAGATGATTGCTTTGTGCAGAAGTAAAGCTCTCTTCTGTTTGGTGCTTTACAACTGGGGACATGTAACCCCTGCTGTCAAACTGAATTTGCTACAAACTGATCCCACTTGAAGATATGATAACAAATTAAAGGCCTTTTGCAGTGTAAGAATAGAGATCTGTTCAAATCCATTCTAACCCAGCTTTCTAAAGACTACCCTTCAGAGAAACATATTTTTTTCCTGATTGTAGATACTAAAAACATCCATTCAGCTCAAGTTTTCATCCTCCTCATTTGGGAGGCTTTGAAGGGGAAGAAAGTATTTCAAGTTGCCAAAGAACAATTTCTCCCAAAAGTAGACATATTTTTTTCAGAGGAACTGAATAACAGTCACTGTCAACTCCTAAATTTTTGAGACATTTACCATTCCAGACTGGCCTGAATTGCAACATTCCTTTGTATGATACCTAAGTCTTAAACAACCTAATGAGGGCAAGTTAATGATAAAAAAGCATACAAATCTTTAGAGGATAATTTTCTATATTTTGTGCTTAAAGATATTGAGTGTATTAAAATACCAGATCTGCTTATAGTTTAATTTCAATTATATTGCCAGAATGCCAACTTTTCCCTAACATTTTGACCAAGATAAACGTTTTTTACGATGTATTTATTTTTTGACTTTTAATAGCACGTTAGTAGTACACAGTGGCACGTGCACATAATAGCACAGTTGACGCCCCTTTCCCTACCCTCCC